TAAGTTTTGTGGTTATTTTCATTTATAACTTTTATTTATATAACTTTCATGGCAGAAAATTGTAAATTATTTATGCAAAACAATGCCTAGGTGCTGTATAATTGATTGTGCGTCATCAATATCCCGCAAACCGAGCAATATTACGTTTCACCGGTAAGTTAAACACTTTCTTGGAATAACAGTATTTAAAACGTAAGTAAGTTATTCTGAAAATGATTGCGTGTATAAATCGATACATATCGTATTTTGGCGTGTTCTATTTATGCTATATTGCTCTTTTCATTTATATTTTTATAATATTTCGGTCCGTAAATAATATTGTTTACATGGCTAGTGTCGTTACTTTAACATATGGTTTATATCGATAATTTTAATATTTAAAAATATATTAATTATTTTAGATTACCAAAAGATGAAACAAAAGAGGAAAATGGCCGAGTAACATAGAAGCAGAAAATATTCAATGTAATGAAAAAGTTACTTTTATCTGCTCACTTCATTTTAGGGAAAGTTGTTTGAATCGAACTTTAAATATAATAAAATTACGAGATGATGCATTGCCAATCAAATACTGTGGTAAGAATTTTTGACAATTGCTTTTAAGTTATTTAAAAAAAAAATGTCTATTACACTTAGTTAATTTTCATTTGATTTTACTGATTTATTTATTTAGTTTTTTATATAGTCATTTTGTTATTCTATAAATGTACCTTATTTTTAGTCTTGCGGTCATATGACGACTATTTTAATTGAAAAAAATAAGAATGCAATATATAATAATATTAAAATATAAAATTCTGATCATAATATACTGATAATATAATTCTGATCATAATATGATGCATCATAAAATACGCTACCTTTTTGAATTTAAATTGCTGACCGTTATCATGATTGTTCACAGAACATGAATTGCAGACTGTTTTACTGCTGAGAAAATATTTGTATGCTTGCCTATTGATTAATCGGCTGTTTTCTTCTTGCTAACCAAATTTTTAAATAAAATGCCAATTGTTACTTCTTTAATAATGTTACTGTTATGCCAATTGTTACTTCATCACCAACTTTGTTTTCTTTATTTTCTCTTGTTTATTCATCAAAGTTTACAGTATTTTTATGTTCTTTTACCAATAATATAATACAAAGATTATGTAGGTGTTTCAAGTTTTCTATGTTTACTACTAAACAAGATGTTCTGAACTTAAAATGGTGACACAGTACGCACGGTATCTCACTTAATGAGGAGGAAGCGAAATTTATTCAGTCAAAACAATTTATTGAATAAATTTATAGACAAGTTGGCTTACTAGTTACAAGCATATAAGAAAGTCGAAACTCTGTGCTTATAGTTCAGCAATCTATTACGGGATACCTTGTACCGAGAAAAGAAGAAACTGTAAGAAAGGAACCGGTAAGAAACTGCAAGGGCTGCTTTTGCACCCTGTTTAATTTCGTACTGAAAAATAAAAAATGACTTCATTGGACCAAAATGTCACTTTCCACCAAAACAATAAAAAATATATAACAGACAAAAAAAGCATAATAATTCAAGTCGAAACTCTGTGCTTATAGTTCAGCAATCTATTACGGGATACCTTGTACCGAGAAAAGAAGAAACTGTAAGAAAGGAACCGGTAAGAAACTGCAAGGGCTGCTTTTGCACCCTGTTTAATTTCGTACTGAAAAATAAAAAATGACTTCATTGGACCAAAATGTCACTTTCCACCAAAACAATAAAAAATATATAACAGACAAAAAAAAGCATAATAATTCATTCGTCAATCGACTCATTAAAAGCTTATTATAGTTACCGTGGTAGTTATCTTGGACAGTAGTCACACTTCCCGTGGATGCAAAATTAAACTTATGTTAAAAAAACTATTTAATTATAATTGCAAAATGTCAACTTGACAATACAGGAATAATTTAAAACCACTGCGAAGATTTTGTGAAAATAAACTTTAAGTAATTTAAATAAACACGTATTTTTTATTTTGATATGTTCTAATACTAAAAAATAAAGTTATCGCTTATCAAAGATCGAGATTTTAAAACTTCATTTATGGACACCGCGCGCCGTGCGTCAGCTGAGCGCTCGCTCGACGCCGCCGTAGGCATGTACTCGTAGGTACCTATCTACACGGGTCACTGAACGGTCATTTTGTTAGATTCGAACTAGATTTTATGCCATGATCTGAGGTGTTTTCTAAGAGTAATTCCAATTTTCCCTTCATACTTTTATGGTTAAGGCCATCAAAATGCAAAAAAATAAAAGAGAAACAAATTCATTACCTAGAAAAAAATATTAACGTTATGCCGAAGTTACATAGGTACTTCTGCGTTAAGGCGTATTTAAAAAAATTTGAATCAACTACGTATTTACAATAATGTTGAATCAAAACAAATACCTAACTAATTACTTACCATGTATTTTAATATTTGTTCAAAATGAAGTCCACGTCTGTCCAGACATAAACGTGCACATTTCATTAAATTGTCATTTAATTTGTTTAAAACACTAGTGTCACTTTTCACTTCACTGAAAGCGTTATTATTTTTTATTGTTGTCTTCTACTTGACCGCGGGGTTATGGATCCCAAAGGCCCGCATACGAGGTATGCTCTTCGTCGCATCTTTCTCCGAATTGCGCTTATGTAGGTTCTTACCACTCAAAAGATAAACTCGTACATCTCGTAAAATTCACGACGGCTGGCGCGTCGCGTGCGCGGGAACGCGAGGACACGTCACATCAGCGCGTGCGTATGAGTCTCACTGTCGCGCGCGTCGCTCGGTCCCGGCGGGGCGGTGGGGGCTGTGGCGGTGGGCTACCGGGCGCGGCGGGGTTGCACGGTGGCATACGCAAGAGAAGACGTTTTCATTGAAGTTTTATTTTAAAAAATGTGTCCATATTCTACGTTTCGATAGGGATAAAAATATTAAAAAAAATTTTTTTAACTAATTAAGGAAAAGTGTTCTATTACTGATACTGAACCACCAAAAAAAATTTTTGCACTGGAAAAAAAATATTCCTGTATATATGGAAATAATTATAAAACACGATTGATATTATTGTAAAACTTTTAAGATATATATTTTGGTACTATAGTTCTTAAAACTATGTAAAATTGGCTATATTAGAGGAAAAAGAAACATATTTATCGAGGTACAATCATATTATAAAATTATATTATTAAATAATATAAATGTGAAAGTTTATGAGGATGGATGTTGGTTACTCTCATGTAAAAACTACTGAACGGATTTTGATGAAATTTGGAATACGAATAATCTTTTACCCGTGGGAAGCGCCATCATACGCTGGTAACATATGTTATATTTACTATAGTGACGCAACGGAGTCGCAAGAACAAAGAACGCAAGAAATTTTAGATGTCCAACAAAATACGAGCAAATGATTGCTTAATGATTTATAAATAATTGATAAATTCACGCCACTTTTAAAAAAATATTATTTTCTTGATACTGGCGTGAATTTTTCAATTTAATTAATAATAATCATAAATAGGATTGGTACGTAAGTGTGAAATGAATAGAAGTGTAATAGGTAATAGTTTAGCCATGCCCCTAACAATGAAAATTATATTATATTATTTAATAAGTAGTAGTATTGTAGCGGTTTCACGAAATACTAACTTTTATTTAATATGAAATCAATGTCGTTACAAATATTGATATCTTGGGTCACGCCCTATGACAATCCGCCATCGAAGAATTTGCATTTGAAGTTTAGGCATATACGCTTTTTTCGTAGGTATGGTCGGTCCTCTTCTTTTATGTCTATGATTGCTATGCGTTCCCGTTATATTATTTTTCTCTTTGCTGCTATGCAATGAATTCTCAAAAGTTATTACATTTATTAGCCGAAACAGCAACGATAAGTTCAGAGGATACAGATACAACCTGGAGCGATGTATCTAGTTTAAAACAAGAGTCTGATATAGAAGACGACGTCGAAGATACTGACATATTATTCTTTCCCTTAATGAGGTATTTGATAAGATTAAGAAGAAAGCGCATTGATGACTATTTACATATTGTGGAGTCTTGGTCTGATTCAGAGTTCAAAACACGTCTGCGTATGTCAAAGAAAACAGCCTATAGCCTCATAGGTTATTGTTTTTAATGCAATTACATTTAATATGATATTGATTTATTATTACCAAAACTAATGCCATTATATTCTTTTCAGATGAATTGGAAAAGTCTGGTTATATTGCTTCCCACACATTTGGATTAAAACCATTAGAGCCAAGATTATGTTTTTATATCTTTTTAACGTTTATAGGAAATACTGAAACATTAACACCAATCGCTAGCAGATTTGATATTTCTGTTTCCTCTACCTTTAGAGTGGTGCGCAGAGTTGTAGCTTGGATTTTAACAAAGTTGAATGATGTAATTAAATGGCCTAGTGATTGCAGTGTGGTAAAGTCAATATGTGATTTGTTTTATATGAAAACAGGTGTTACAGGTGTTCTAGGAGTTATAGACGCCAACCACATCAAAATTGAGAAACCTAAGAATGGAAGAGAGTATTGCAATAACAAAGGATACTACTCAATAATTTTGCAAACTACTGTTGACTCAAATTTAAAATTTATAAACATATTCTGTGGAGAACCTGGATCAAGTAATAGCATCAGAGTTTTAAAGAAATCTCCCTTATACATTACTGCTTCACAAAATAAAACTGTGTTATTTCCACAAAATACATTTTTAGTTGGACATTCTGGATATCCAACATTATCATGGCTACTTCCACCTTTTAGAGAAAGTAAAAGACTTACTCAACATCAACGGGAATTTAACTCTAAACATTTACAGTGTCGAAAGTTAGGAAATAAAGCATTTAATCTTTTGAAGGGAAGGTTTCGTAGAATTAAAGTTTTTAATGTATATAGAAATATTGCTTTCATTACGGATACTATTGTTGCAGCTTGCATATTACACAATTACTGTCTTGTGGAAAATGACTATTTAGATGAACAATAGAAATTTTATTTGTACACCCTGTGCACAAATATGTATATATTTTTAAAACACTTTCAAATAGAATATCACATTTTTTCATTTCATAATTTAAATAATGGTTTATTTAGACCTTTAGGTGTACACACCTTATACTGTCACAACAAAGTTGTGTAACAACTATAGATGGCAATGAAGCATTAAGCTTTCACATAACCATCACAGTGTAACTTCTTGCAATTGATTCCCAATTAGACAGTCACAAAAATGTTACTTTCGCAAAAAAAAAAAAAATTAAGATATTCTCTATTACATGTGTTTGGACAAGAGCTGCCCTGCGATTCTGTAAAAATTCAAACCTGAATTCACTCGGCCATCTGAATTCACTTTAAATAGCTGAATCTGCTCAATCTTGAATTGGTAATAATGTTTAGTGGCTAAAGTGAAAAAACTGGTCTGGATTTTTTGGTCTCAAATTAATCATGTGATTAACAGACATGTGTCAGGTCAGTAGGGTTCATAAATAATTCTATATTTATAATTTTGCAATTAGCAAAGGCATTCTACTGATTTTCCAATAACTTGTGTAGCAGGAGGCATTTCTCTCTCTCAATTTTAAGTATTTCTTCTTGTTTTCTTTCCTTAAGTTGTAATTTTTTTAAAGCTATTGATTGTTTGATTTCTAGTTCCTTTTTTTTTAACTGTAATTCTTCTTCTCTTAGTCTCAAACTCCTTTCATATCTTTCATCTCTTATATGCTTTTGAGCATCTTGTTTTTGTATATAATCCATCCATTGTTTGTCTAGTTCAATCTTTGCTCTTCGTTCAGCCCTTAATCTTCTAAAAGGTGTCTTTTGCATACCATGTACCTTTTTTTGTTCTTTATCAGCAGTGCCTTGACTTTGCACTCCCGATGCTAACCTGTAGGAACTACTAGTATCATGGTTTTGTCCAAGTATTTGATGCATTTCATTAAAGTATTTAAATCCTGCTGCTCCTTGTCCACTATCTATACTATCTTTATATTTTTTTGTTAGTGCATTTATTTTCCATCTTACTTGATCTGATGTGACCTGCAATAATATTTGACACAGAAAAATTATTGTTTTAGAAAAGTTTAACAAAATTATTTGGACAATAATTTATTTATATAGAAACAATATACCTCAATGCCCATGGCTTTCAACTCTTCAGCTATAGATGTCCACATCTTTGACTTCTTTTTGAGATTGTCACATATGCTCATTTTAGCTTCATATAAACTCAAAAGGGTAGCAGTAGAATTCTTTGACCATAAAATGCCTATAATATAATTTTTTTTTAATTATTGATTTAAATTTTATCAGTATGTTAAATAGTATCACATTTTAACACATATTAAGTTTCCATACTTTGCTTACAGGTATCAGGAATGTCAGTTTCCTGTTGTACTATGACCTGCTCCTGACTATGTGTGTGATTGACATTTTGATCATGGTTTGGATCATGATATTGGGCTATATTTAAATTAGTTTTATAAACTGATGCTGATGTTGAACCTTAAATAAAAGTAATTTTTTGTTACTGAATTAAAGCTTCAAAAAAAAAAATGTAGCACTGATGGAATCTGTAAGCTTTTGTTACTTGCATAATTTTAGATTCAAACGTGTCTTAAGGTTTAAAATTAAAATTGTTTACTTACATTGACTGTCTAACATAGTCAAAACAGAAACATTATTGTCAATGTTCTCGTTCATAATGAGGGGCGATTCCAGTAAATGAATTAACAGCCAATTTCTTTTTGAACTAATGCAGCTGCTGCTGTACCTATATGGAATAGTCCACAAACTCAATAATCGCTCAACAAACACATTACATTTTACCTTCTTATCATAGTGTCAGACTAGTTCTCTAGTGTCTCGTTTTGCCTCGTAAAAATTAAACTAAAATTACTACAGTTAAAAACATTTGTATATTATTGGTACAACTATTTTAAAAATTTAAGTAATTATATGACCACATTAATTTCGATTACAAAAAGATTATCAAGGCTATTTGTTTCCTTTTTTCTACTGGTATCCCTTTGAAGTGTCATGGCAGTGACATATTATCAGCATATTATACTGATACATATTTTAAATAATTGGTATTTTTAATTTAGTAGTTATTATACATTCCAACAGTTAAAATGGTGAAGTATTGCGTTTATGTTGTGTTATTTTTTTTATAATTAATATAAAAACAACAACAATATAGAATTGAATGAGGAAGTATTTAAAAAAAGTCGAAAGCACTAAAATAGCACCTCCACTAGATGGCGACTCTAGCAAAAGTTGATTTTTGCAGGAAACGAATGGGCCAAAGACAATCATGTCCGTTCCTTTTAACTAACATATTAAGAAATTGAAATTTGAAATGTTCGAAACCTAGATATCAATACAAATACGAAAAAGTACAAATAGAACATGAGTTGTTTATTGAGTTTTGAAAACTAATTTACTTTTAAACATGAAAGAAAACCGGAAGGGTTGTCAAGAAGAAATCAAGAACGCACCGTGGCGACATCTAGTTTAAATTCGGAAACTAATGTTTTTTTTTTAAATACTTCTTCATTGTTTTTAGTAGTAGTAGTAGTAGTTTCGTCTATGGGACAGGCAAAGGAACTAAGCCATACAGGCAAATCTTGGGTTATATTCTTTATTATATTATTTTATAAGGCAATGTCTAGTCTTTTCTTCTTGTCTTCTTTTTATTCCGTCTTGTCTTATTTTTTTTTAAGGCTAATAGCCAGGTTTTAGTTTTAATGTCTTTGTCTTGTCCAGGGTTATTATTTTGTATATTCGGGAAGGGTAAAATCAGTCTCCAAAAGTGGAGCTAATATCACAGTATAAGTATGACACAGTATAGAAACTAAGCCTATTTGATAAAATAAATACCTACGCTCAATTAAAACGATATGGTTGTCACTTTTAATGTTTAAGACATTGTTTTCTTTAAGGGATATATAAGGAGTTCTGACATGATTGATGAATCGTATTGTAATAACTAATTAACAAACAAAACATATATATGTATTAATACAAAAATACATTTTTGAAATTTGGCAGATTTGTTTAGATGGTGATAGCTACTTATATTTACTCTGATGATATAGACTAACATATGCGAAAACTGGGCAGTTCTAGAAATATAACATACGAACGGGTCGAATTGTAAACCTTCTTTTTTAAGTCTGTTAAAAATCGGTTAATCTCAACCAAAGACGATAGTTTAATATTGACACAAAAATATTTTTTCAATTCGAACCAGTATTTCCTGAGATTAGCGCGTTCAAACAAACAAACAAACTCTTCGGCTTTATAATATTAGTATAGATTTTAAAAATAAAATTTAGTTCTTGAAATCGAACTATGATATTCATTCAAATTTTCTTTGTTGTGTATAAAAGTAAATTGAGTATTAATTAAATAATATGACATCGTTTCGTGTTTCTTATAATATCTAATTATCAAATTAATTTTAATTTATTTGAATCGTAAGTTTAATTTATTCATTTTGTTACATGTAAAGGATGAAACGATATTTGGTTTTTATGTCAAATTAGTGATCAGCCAACTCGTAACCTCAATGAGGAAGTATTTAAAAACTTCCGCTTTCTTTCATCTATAAAAACATAATTAGTTTTCAAAACTCAATAAACAACTCATACTTTATTTGTACTTTTACGTATTTGTATTGATATCTAAGTTTCAAACTATGCAATTTTTAGTTTTTGAATATATTAGTTAAAAGGAATGGAAATGACTTTCTTTAGTCCATTCGTTTCCGAAAACCGGAAGGGTTGTCATAGAGAAATCAAGAAAGTGCCGTAGCGACATTTAGTTAGGTTTCAGGAATTAATGTTTTTTAAAATACTTCCGCATTACTAAAGTTTAAAAAAGTATATTTTTTGCCTATGATAACTCTACGTTGATTACAGTATAGGTTCTGCTCTACGGCTTTTATATACTAATAAAGGGTATGTTCAGACCACTGCGAGCACTGCGCAGTGGTCTTACTGCTGAAAAATCCGTTCCATTATGGACTGCCAGTACACTGCTACAGTACCCTAGGGAAATTTATGACGTCATAAATTGCCGCCATATTTGTACTGTGAGCACTGGAGATTTCGAAGTAAGGTGCTCGCAATGCTTTTGATCACGTGATCAGTCGAAACAGAATCAGAAAATGATAAGTTTCTAAATAAACAAAAAGATACTTACGTTTATTATAAGATGGATTTAATTGATCAATAATTTTTTATACACAATTTTATAATATTTTCTTTTGAAAAGAGGGAATCTTTATATTTATATTCACCTTGCATTAACAAATTTGAAAATGGCGCCAAAAAATAGGATTAACAGTATACTGGACTGCGTTCCGTTTTAAAAGTCACCAGTATAACTAGCTATAAAGGAACGAGCTTCCAGTATACTAAATTGACGTCATACTGTTCAGTGGTCGCAGTGTATATCGGTACATACCCAAATATTGCTGTGATTTTTGAATAATCTTTTATTGTTCCGATCCAGCTGAATACCAAGTGCATAAAATTAAAACATTTTAACCGTCTGTTACGTTACGAGCTTTATGTTTGTGTTGGAATGACTGTTGCTCTGTGATCTTGTCTTGTCATTAATACGTAGTGCCTCCTTTTTGTTCTGTGTCATTAACTGTCATAATTTGTGATCTTAATTATTTGTCACATTGGGTTGGCGATTTCTTTCTTGTTCATGAATATATAAATGACTATTATTTAATAACCGTTCTTGGTAATTGCCAAGTCTTGGATTATTAAAAATATGGCAAGCTGTGGTGACTTTATTAAAAGTCAATTCCCACTTATCGATGATGAGCTGAAAAAATATGTTGAAGGTATGATAGGTTAGAAAAAATTGGTAGTGTATAGCGGCAATTAACAGTCTTATCTTGTTAATATTATTAGTTCAAAGCTATCAAATGTACTTAAGTGTTCTCATTTATCAATCACATGTTTTCTTTAAACTGACCGAAAAGGAAACCTTTTGTTTGCTATCAATGATACATTGATAAAAAGGATTCTCCTAGTAACATTTTTGATTTTCAGATATACTCGATGGAAGCGCTGGTGAATTTGAAGATACGGAAGAGGTTTATGAAGCCGTAGGTGAAGTATTGCAAGGTATATCTGAAAAATCGGAAAAGGATATCAGGTAATAATCATGTAAAATAATTATACATACATTACTGTTGAATGAATGCTCATTGGTAGCTTTTTCACATAAAGACGAAATAAGATTTGCAATAGAAATTAGCAGTGTTGTCAATAGTTTGGTTTGTGGTTGTTTATGTAGCACACATTCTTTTTTGTTGTGTCAATCTTGGTGCTGAATATGTATTTTTTTGTAGAAATTTGCGATCATATCAGTAAGGTTTTACACATAACTTTCAGAAACACCAACTGAAAGTCACACTAAAAAAAATTAAGAATTTTTGTAGTCATTTTTAATAGCAAACAAAATAAAACCTCACCTACCTGCTTCAGTGATTCAAATACACTTAAAAAAATGAATAATAATTTTATGAGCTATTGAGTAAAAAAGAAGAAATAAAATTAAGGGAAAAAATATGGTTAAATGATATAAACATTCTATAGATACAAAAGTAGAATTTTAGAATTATTTTATAATTTGGGTTTATTATTGTAAATAGGATACAAATGGAAACTGTGTAATATCTTAGTACTAAAGATGCATTGAATATTAATTGGCTAATCAGTATTTGGTTTATTTGGCATCTTTTTCACTATTTGTATTCAGCCGAGTTATTATTTTGATGCTCAATATATTCAGTACTAGTTTTTCTATTTTCTTGGCTTCAGGACTCAGTATAGTACTATATCTAACAGATGAAAGAAAAACCTTCTCATGTAAGATTCATGTTATAAGTCAAAAGAAGGCCTATAAACAATGTGTTGAATAAAACTAATAAAATAAAGCAATTAAATTAGTCAACATTTATTTTGAAACCCCAAATTATTTTTAAAGTTAAAATCTTTTTTTTTTAAAAACCTATTTACACAGCAAAACAATGAAATGCTCCCCAAATAATTCTGCTGAATATCCGGTTTGAAAAGTTTAAACCAAATTGGGTTTCCAAGTATTCAGTTATTTGGTGAATCTACATCTTTATTTAGTACCTAGTTGTGTTATAATTTTTTTTTAATCAGACATTTGTCATTTTATTTAAAAGCACTTTTCTAAATTGCAGGGAAATATGTGAGAAGTTGCTACACATGTTGCAACCTGACAAGACTAGCAACACTAATGGACTAAGAAAAGTATTAGATGCCCCAATTCATTTAGCTTCAATGACATCTACTGTTCAAGAAAATGATGATCTCAAAAGTATATGGTTGCAGACAAGAGATGATAGCTTAGTATGTATTTTGTCAAGAAAGCTTATAAGTATTATATCCACTCAAACATTCATTGTCACAAAAGTAACCAAAAAATATTTATAGATAAATTCCTGTTTTGACCTATGTTCCCGTAACATATTGTACATTATATCAATAGAATAAATTTATTGAGTATAGAAAACTTTAAGTACTCACATTAAAATTGATTTTATTTACTTTTTTATATTAATGAAAAACAATTACACATTTCATGAAAAGCTTAATTCAACAAAATTGAAGTTGATTTTCAGTAGATAATTTCCATATCTTTTGACTTCACTTTAGGTTATGTGGATTGTTTTAATATTTTTTAAGAATCATAGAAAATGTTAGTATAGAAAATAGTTGAAGCCTGATGACCATTATAGTTATTTACTACATACTTAAATAAATATGAAAAATAAAACCTTTAAACTTGTCTGATTATAATAATATTTTTTAAATTGCTTGTAGAAAGTAGATGCAAGAAAGTTAGAAAAAGCAGAAGCAAAACTGCAACAGAAACAACAAAAGCAGAAGGATAACAAGATGCCAGCAGCTGTTCCAGTTCTTCAAACAGCAACAGCATCTCAAGTAACTTCAAAAAAAGACAGTAAATTAGAAGCTAAGGGCACTAATAGAACACAAGACATTAGGATAGAAAATTTCGACATTGCATATGGTGACAGGTAATGTTATTCCATCACAAACATTGTACTTTATACTTCCATTTTGTTCTAACAGGGTATGGAAATTACTAGATATCTTAGTTTCACAGTTATAGCAATGAGTTTCCAGAAATGCCTGATTCTATTTAGTAAATATAATTATTATATTATTATATTAGTTTGGATTACCAACACAGTAATCAGAATGTACAGCAAGTTTTTCAAATAAGTGTTATTAACATTCTATGTCTTTTTAGAGTGTTATTACAAGGCGCAGATCTGGTTCTTGCATTCGGTCGTCGTTATGGACTTGTTGGCAGAAACGGTCTTGGCAAGACAACTCTACTCAGGATGATCTCTGCAAAACAATTGAAAATTCCATCCCATATATCCATTCTCCATGTTGAACAGGAAGTGGTGGGAGATAACACAATAGCATTACAGAGTGTCTTAGAGTGTGACACAGTTAGAGAAAGTTTATTGAGAAGAGAAAAAGAAATTACTTCTGCTATAAATAATGGGTAAGTCTGATTTGTACACAGGTTTATCATTATAAATTATATTTAAGATGATAAATATGCTCCAGCCCTGGGTAAAACATAATGGAGTACTTACATGTTATGGATGCAATAAATGGGTAGTTCTAGCTAGTTATATAATGTGTGAGGAGCTCGATGGCGCCATGGTATATGGTTGCGGTTGTTAAAAAACTTATGCAAGGGCCGATCATAGGATGAGTGACCAAAAACGTATTATATCAAACTCCTCTGTGCTACGGAGGGGAAAATTAAGGCATTGTTTCCAGCTGCATCTGCAGTCATTAACACCCACCGATCCATACTAGGCCAGTGTGGTGTATCATGGACCATTCTCCCATCTCTATAGATGGAATCAGCCCCAGCAGCGGAAACATTAAAAGGCTGGTAATGATGATATAATGAGTAATGTGTGAAGCAAATCTCAAGGAACGTTATTTTTTAAATTATGTTTTATTAACACTATTACTTCATTAAAGATCTATCTATTTACTGTTACAAATATATATTAATGTGTAAAACAAGTATTGCAGGCTGTAAACATGTTATCATTTCAGGTCAACTGACACAAATCTTTCAACAGAACTTAGTGAAATTTATGTTCAATTAGAGAATATAGAAGCAGATAAAGCTCCCGCTCGTGCTTCTATAATATTGAGTGGTCTCGGTTTTACACCAGAGATGCAGGCGCGAGAGACTAAAACGTTTTCTGGCGGCTGGAGAATGAGATTGGCACTCGCAAGGGCGTTGTTCTCCAAGTTAGTATATAGATTCTCTTTGTTAAAGCCCTCTTGTACCTCCGCTTACATTCCCTTACAAATACTCGATTCAATACATTTTTAATCACAGAAGAAAAACAAATGTAGTTATAAAAAGTCTTTTGATCATTTTATATTATTTCATAACCTATTTTTGTATATATTTTTTTATCTTGTCACAATGAACTATATTTTTTATAAAAACAATCAAAAAAACCTATTTAGAATAATCTTTGCAATTTTTTTTTTCTATCAACCCAATTATAGTAGTATTATTGCCATAATACATGTGTGTTTTGTTTGAAGTGAGACACAGCCTTTTAAACAAAACAAAAAACAAAATCCTTGATACAAAAATATAAATAATTTTATTTAACAGTATACTTTTTTTTTCATTTAATTACTGTCCAATCTCCTATTATAATTAATTGTGTTTTAGTTTTTTTTTTTTTATAAAAATACAAGTATAAGATATTAGACAACATCACATATATTGCTCAGATCCCAAGTGGGTAAAGCTTTTGAATTATAGTACTATGACACATCTAGAATAAGCAACACCCACACCTGAGACAATATAGAAAGGTTAATTATTTATCTTGAACCGACCGGGAATCGAACCCGTGATCTCAATTTGAGCTTAATTTTTTTTATTACCATTTCAAACAGACCTGATCTACTGCTTCTGGATGAGCCGACGAACATGTTGGACATAAAAGCCATCATCTGGCTAGAGAATTACCTTCAAAATTGGCCTACGACGTTACTTGTAGTATCTCACGACCGGAACTTCTTGGACACAGTGCCTACAGATATTTTACATTTGCACACTCAGAGGATAGACACGTATAGGTAAGTTTTAATTTAAGAATGCACAAGGACAGATTTTTTTTTATAGCATTACAAACATATTATCAATTTGGTCCTAAACTATGAATATACATTAAACTTAAATATTGAATAGATTCTGATTTAATTATATTATGATGAATGTCTATTATGTGTCTTGGAACTATTCATGTAAATATTGTATTAAAATAGTATATAAAATAGTAATTAGTTTTAGCCATGATCTATACTTACTAATATTATAAAGCTGAAGAGTTTGTTTGTTTCTTTGAACGCGCTAATCCAGAAACTACTGGCTCGAATTGAAACATTCTTTTTGCGTTGAATAGACCATTTATCGAGGAAGTCTTTAGGCTATATAACATCACGCTGCAACCATTAGGAGCGAAGAAATAACGGAAAACGTGGACGAGGTCGCTGGCGGCAACTAGTATATAATAAAAAGGCAAAATTTTAAAAAAGAAATCATTATGATGGAGTTGTTTATGAGTCCAGGTGTTTCAACTAGTATTATATTAGAATTATGATACAGTTCCAAAAGGTTTTCTACCATACATTTGAAAGTAGCTGTATTTCACAGAGGAAATTACGATCAGTTCCACAAGACTAAGACTGAAAAGTTGAAGAATCAACAGCGCGAGTACGAGGCGCAACAGCAGCATCGCGCGCATACGCAAGAGTTTATCGATCGTTTCCGTTATAACGCCAATCGTGCCTCCTCGGTGCAGAGCAAGATCAAGATGCTGGATAAGCTGTGAGTATTGGCTACTTCAGTGTTCTGGATAAAATATTTTAAAACTTTCATTTGATCATATTCAACTAACAATCTAACTCCAAAAGTGTTATTAAATAAATATTTACATATTCACATATTCATATGACGTTTCTAGCCGTGACGTCACATTTCAATACACATAAGTACTAGTTGCACTCACAACAAAGTGTTTAGTTTATTGAAATATGATTTCACACGATCGCGTCGACGTCTTCGCCGCCCGCTTTTTATTTAGATTACATATATCAAGTTAAAAATAAAATTTATATATGATTTCTTATAAAGAAAAAAATACTGTTAAGAAGCCAATTGGAGACCTTTTTAATTTTATTTATTTGCAATCGTTTACGACTTTGTCCATCTCATGACAGACCTTTGTGACACATTTCTATTTTTTAAATATTTTTAGTAAAAATGCATGAATAAATCCATTAGATGGGTCCCAGCTGAGGGTACCTGGACCTGGTGGATTTTTTAAGAATTGCTCATTAAAAATATTTATCACTATAGCAATTGTAATTTTTTACCCTCCACCAAGATATCCAATTACAAATGTGTTATTTTCTTATGTATCACAGATAATAAACGAGATCAGTACAGTAACATTATTATTATTATTTGGCTACTTTATTTTAATAATTTTTGAAATTTTAATAACAAATTTACTTCAGTCCAGAATTGAAACCTGTGGAAAAGGAGGTGGATGTGGTCCTCCGGTTTCCAGAAACAGAGCCACTGTCGCCACCCATTTTGCAACTGAACGAGGTCGGCTTTTATTATTCCAAGGACAAGGTTATATTTTCCAACGTCAATCTCGGCGCCACTCTCGAGTCTAGGATATGTATCGTAAGTAATTTATTCTTTTCTATAATTATAGGAAATGTCCTGATATTTTAATATTATCGAATTGCATTTTCAATTCTTACCGTACTTTAACAAAGTATTGTTTTAATATACATCTGAAGGCCTATAGATGAATCTCGTCTCGTTTTCGAAGTGCTAGTAGTACTCCAAGGAAACGTATTTTTCGATAATTTAATAGCAATGGACGTAGGTTCTGACACTATCGCTGTGCATCAGAGACAGTTTTAGATCCTACCTCTGATAATCTTCACCAATATGATTTCAATGAATTTATATAAACAATATGAATTTGATGTCTACATATAAAAATCATGTGCTATTGGTATTCCCGAATATATATATATATATAAATAAATAAATATTCTTAATGAAGCTTAAAAAAATCACTTTACCCTGGCACACTGAGATGGGATTCGAACCGATAACCTTGAAATTTTACGAAATTTCCTTCAAATACAAATTCTGTCAAAGTCATCGCACGCATAGCATACGCGTCGTAAGATTTAGTGACATTTTTAGTGTAAAACCGTGAATTTCCACACAAAACTATCAAAAAAGTGATGATGGAAGTCTTATAGTGCTGTGATAGTGTTATCTGTAAAAACTTTTTAGAGATTACGACAAAAACCGGCGCTAAAAGAACTCAATACACACGTGAAAATTAAATCTACCCTCAACATTTGTTTTTTTGTGAATTAATTACATTAGGAAAATGACAGTTCTTGAACTCAGTGTTGCTAGAGCAAAAACTTAAATATCACTAAAAACCGTAAAACCTATAAAAAAAAATGTCGGGAACTAATAATAATCAGTCCTCTGATAACTCCAACAATCTAATAGGCAAACCAAACACTCCGAACACAAGAAAGAAATTCGTCCAACAAGCGTTTCACCCCAGCCTATTCAATAGAGAACGGCAAAACTCTGTGAACATAGATCTGGAAAATGAAATGAACATAACACAGGATCAAGCTGGACCTCCAGCTTGGCAAAGGGTACCGAAACGCAAAAAAAACTCAAAATCCCCCTCACCCCCCCATAGCAGGAGTAAGACTGAAACATCGAACAGATACAGTGGTCTACCTACTGACTGCACAGAAGAAACAGAACCGAAAAAACAGAACAAACCTCCACCTATCATGCTCTATGGAATTGAGGATCTTAACAAGCTAACAGAACTTCTCATTTCGGCAACAGAAAGAACAACCTTCATATACAAAAATGTAAATAGAAACCAACTACGAATAAGTTGCAGGGATATAGAAGTCTACAAGAAAATCATCAGTATTGTGCGTGAAAATAACCTTATTGGACTTTTAACAGAAAAGAGGAACGGTGTTTTAGAATCGTTATTCGAAATCTCCACCCAACAACACCCCACGATGCTATAAAGGAGGATATTGAAAGTACAGGGAACACCGTCTCAGGTGAAATAATAAATGCAAAATATGGACCCGAAAAAAAGCCACCTCAACATTCTTTGTCAATCTATTACCAGGGCCAAAAAATAAGGCAGTAAAGGAATAAAAATATATCTACCATCAAGCTGTAGTAATAGAAGATCCGAAAAAAAGGAAAAGCATTGTACAATGCCAACGGTGTCAGCAGTATGGTCACTCAAAAAACTACTGTATGAGACCATATTGCTGCGTGAAATGTACTCAGCCTCATAAAACCTCCGATTGCCCAAAACAAGACAGGAATACACCAGCCCAGTGCGTTCTTTGTGATGGACCCCACCCTGCAAACTACAAGGGCTGCGAGGTGTACAAGGAAATCATTGCAAGGAAAAAAACCTTCAATAGACAACCGAAGGTGGAGCGGCCGCAGCAGCAACATCTCATAAATCTAGAGCAACCAACACTCTCATGTATGCCAGAAGAGCACATACCGACCAAAGATCCACACAAATCGTTCTCCGAAGCTGTAAAAATTGGAAATAGCAAGGAATCCAGTAATAATATTGAAGTATTGCTCACGAGACAAACGGTTAAGTTCGAACTTATTCTAGAACAAATGAGTACTCTGATGAGTCTCCTAACTACACTTGTCAACCACCTCGCCAAGACCTCAAAATGACTGCGATAAGACTAGGAACCTGGAACACAAATGGATTAACACCAAATAAACATGAGGTTGAGCTCCTATTAAATAACTACAAACTAGATATACTACTAGTTTCAGAAGCCCATTGCACCGAAGCTTCAATAAAGATTATTTTGACTTTGACTTTGACTTTGACTTCTAATATCAAGTTTAAGGATTACCAGTGCTATGTGACATTACACTCAGATGGCACAGGGCATGCAGGCACAGCAATAATCGTAAGAAAAACAGTTAAACATTACCTTATGCCCGAATATAGAACACAACATATTTAAGCCACCACAATTTCTATTGAAGACAACACTGGCCATCTTAATGTGTCTGCAATATACTGCCCCCCTAAACATAAAATATCTAATATTATGTATGACGAGTTCTTTAAAACGCTTGGGACCCGTTTTATCATCGGTGGCGACTGGAACGCCAAGCACACTCATTGGGGATCCAGACTTATTACTACCAGAGGAAGGGAATTAAAAAAAAGCGTCAACAATAACAGGCTGCTAACAATCTCCACTGGAGAGCCAACCTACTGGCCGACAGACCCAAATAAAACTCCGGACCTTGTCGATTTTTATATCACGAAGGGCCTTTCGAAGCACTACCTAAAACCCGAATCATGTTATGACAGTTGCTCAGATCATACACCTGTGCTATTGACTGTAAGCTCACTTTTAATAGAATATCACAGACCAAATACTCTTTATAATAGAAATACCGACTGGAAATCTTTCAGAGAGTTTCTTGATGAAAAGATTGAGCTCAAAATTGCCCTCAAAACAGCAGAGGATATAGAAAACGCGGCAAAACACATAACATGTCTTATACAAAAGGCTTGCTGGCTAAACACTCCAGACGAAATGTGCTATACAAGACACTCCAATTATCCCCTCGAAATAAAGAATGCTGTCCTTGAAAAAAGATTGAGAAGAGTCTGGCATTTAAGTAGGCTTGATGAAGATAAGAAACTCTTTAACAAAGAAGCTAAAAAACTAAAACAAATGCTTCAACACTGGCACAATAGCACCTTACAAATACAACTAGAATCATTGACTCCTACAGTATCAACAAATTATTCTTTGTGGAAATTTACTAAAAACTACGATAGACCACAACTACCTAAACCACCGCTCAGAAAAAATAATGGCTGGGCACGAACTTCTCAAGAAAAAGCTGATATTTTTGCTGAACACCTAGCTGAAGTATTTTGTCCAAATGAAATAAGTAATTCTGAAAATGAAAGCGAAGTCGATACGATTTTGAATCAAGACCTTCAAATGTCGCCACCACCAGCTCCTGTAACAGTAAGAGAGGTATGGAGAATGATAGCGGACCTCAAAGACAAAAAAGCTCCCGGATTTGACCTTATCACAAAAGAAATCCTAAAACAACTACCGCGAAAAGCTATTGTCCTTTTAACTATCCTATTCAATGGTGTTCTAAGAGTACAATACTACCCTAACCTGTGGAAAGTATCACAAATTCAAATGATACATAAACCAGGTAAACCAGCTAACAATGTCACATCATACAGACCTATCAGCCAACTCCCAATACTATCTAAGCTGTTTGAGAAATTACTCTTGAAAAGAATACTGCCAATATTAGAGGCCACAAAGATAATACCCAGTCACCAGTTTGGGTTTAGACATCAACACTCAACCATTGAACAGGTACATCGCGTTGTTGACAGGATACGGAGAACACTAGAGGAAAAAGAATACTGCTCGTCTGCTTTTCTGGACATACAACAGGCCTTTGACAGAGTTTGGCACAAGGGCCTACTTTGTAAACTACGCTACGCCTTCCTCATAGCTTCTACACCCTTATGAGCTCTTACCTTTCTGAACGGATCTTCCAAGTCAAAGAAAAAGATAAAACCTCCAAATTCTTTGAGATCAAAGCTGGTGTTCCCCAAGGTTCAGTCCTGGGGCCGGTCCTATATACTGTCTATACAGCAGATCTTCCACAAATAGAGGGAATCACAACAGCCACATTCGCTGATGACACGGCAATTTTAGCTAGTAGCAAAGATCCTATTGCTGCATCACAAATCTTGCAAGTTGGACTAGACGCAATCACAAAATGGTTAGAGAAATGGAAAATTAAAGCAAGTGCCTCCAAATCGGTACAGGTCACATTCACTCTCAGAACTGGAAAATGTCCTCAAGTAAAACTCGAAAACTTACCACTTCCTCACCATGAAAAAGTGCGATACCTTGGCCTACATCTTGATCGACGGCTCACGTGGAACCATCATATCAAAACCAAGAGAAATGAATTAAATATTCGCTATAAAGACTTATCCTGGATCTTGGGAAGAAACAGCAAGTTGTCTATTGACAATAAGCTATTAATCTACAAAACATTTCTCAAGCCTGTCTGGGCTTATGGAATCCAGTTATGGGGAAGCGCTAGCAATTCCAGCATTTCAGTACTACAAAGAGCACAAAATGCCATACTTCGATCTCTAAGTAATGTGCCGTGGTTCATAGCCAACACTGAAATCCACAAATATCTAAGAATGAATACTGTGAAAGAAGAAATCCAAAATTACACAGACAGATTGAAACGACATCCAAATGAACTGGCAGCAAAGCTAATAAATCGAAGCTACAATAAGCGCCTTAAAAGAAAGGACATCCTGGACTTGTAACAAATCTGATGGAAGATAAAAACTACGAGTAGCTGTTCTCACTGGAGGACACACTCTACAAATGATGATACACTCAAAATACCTGCTTAAAGCACACAATGCTGATTGCAGATTACCACACAGAAAAAAAAAATACAAATTGGTTAGGCCCTCCAGTATAATGTTAATTCTTACTTATTATCTCGTATTATATACGTATAAAGTAATTGTATTCTATAAAATAGGTAATTTCATAGAATACAATTGACTATAGAATAACGTTTAAAGTAAACACTTTTGTGCTCTGGAAGGCACGTGAAGCTGTCGGTCCCGCTTGTATCTGCACTCGTTAACACCTACCAAACCGCACTGGACCCGTGCAGTGGTTCATGGCTCATTCTCCTTATTCAATTCGTTTCCCTCTTTTGGTTAGGCCTTTGCTACAGCAGGGGGACATTAATATGCTAGTGAAAGTTGCATGAGAACAAAAATTCTTTAGTTTAGTAAAGAAACTGGTGCAATAGAATTAGCCCCAATATGCTATCTATCTATATATCTTACTAGCTAATTTATATGTAACGTTAATATTGCGCCCCACCAACGTAGTCTACGTTCATGTACTATGATCTCACGTGATTGCATTTATGAATTCTATTTCCAAGGTAATGATGATTTAATTCATCGAAATAATTATGTCAATCAGTAATCGCGTGCATACGACATGCACTACAAGGCCATTTTTTATATTAACAAAGATATAATTCACTTTATTTTCATAATTTATGTGTTCAACAAACGGAGACGAATCATGTGAAAAAAAACAAAATGTTGCTCGCGTGTTTAGGTATGACAATTGTGAGTCAGTTATGGTCTAATTTCAGTTTTCGTTATTAATTTACTTGTACATTTACCGATAACGTGAATGTAAGGTCGATAATAACCAGGTCATTGTATTATTTAATAGCTATTATGAGTGTTGTATGATAATGTCAAGAACACTAGATAAAATGAAACAGTTGCGTTTAATGGATTCCTTCAATTCGCTTACTAATTAAAACTTTTGTTTATTTAGTATAGTTACTATGACTTGGTCTATTTGGTAATGAAATTGTAATCCGCCTGCACTAAGGCGTTAGCGGGATGAACTCATTGATACGCAAAGTACATTGAGTCATTTTTACTTTAAGATCTATGGAATATCCATACTTCATCATAATTTCCCCCGCCTGATCACATATCTCGATGTCCGATTATGGCTATGAAATAGTGTGAAATAAAAGCTTTCCGGTCAACTCTGTTTATTATCTCTCCAACTTAAGCAGAGTACCGAGAACTAAAAGGCACGGATATCAAATACCTCTTTAGCTTGTTTGATGTCTGTTTTTTTATACACCCTCACCAGATTTTATGACTTTCCTGTAGGAAAAGTGCGTTCAATCGACATTACAATAGGGTAGATACGGTAGTGAAAAATAAATCACAAAATTAATAGCATTATTGTCTTAAAATTAAATGCCAAGATTATTTGTATGTGTGTCACGTGATTTGAAACAAGACCCGCCATTGTGTGACGTCATTCTAGCTATAGCTGTCAGATTCGCGTAAACAACGCCTATTTATTATACATCAAATTAAATTCCTAGGTGGCGCTGTTTTTTAACTAATTTATATGTTTTAATTTTGTAATCGACCGTTAGATTGCACTGTTCTTGTTTTATGGACATCTTTTAATCTGTTTTATATATATATCCTAATGACGTCTTGGTACATTAACACCAATTGGCTCAACATTAAGTAGTTATTGAATTAACTTATTGACATTGTCTAAGCATTGAGTCTATATTCCAAGAGTACGAGACAAGATTTGATGAAAATTGAGATTGTCATTGATTGAAATTGACATTGAGATTGCGTTTAGAAGTAAGCATGCTGATTGGTACACGTTCAATCTGATCGTGGGATGTGTGCTGTAGCGTAACATTCTTCCATTTTCGCGCTGTATATTGAATTTATCATTCCTTCATCCAGCATTATTTCTAAATGTCCGAACTAATAGAATACATAGGAGCATAAACCTGTTAATTTCTACACCCATACTTTATTTACTTTTTCTTATATAGGTGGGTGACAACGGTGCTGGCAAGACTACGTTACTAAAAATAATAATGGGTATACTATCCCCAACGAGTGGTATCCGAAGTGTGCATCGTGGTCTAAAGTTCGGTTATTTTTCGCAACATCACGTCGACCAATTAGAGATGAATGTCAACTCTGTAGAATTGTTACAGAAGAGTTATCCAGGTGGGTGTTTATTAAATTATGGTTTGTGTTTTGGATAATAGAATAAATAGTTGATAATATCGAGAATATGGTATCGAGAATTGAGATAATATTCAGTATTCTAATCAACTTTAAAAAACAACAACTTTTATTTACACAATTCTTTTATTATTCTTATAATTGTCTTTACCATAGCTTTTTTATATTAGATAAATTTCAGACCTCAATCTAAAAAGCTAAAACAAAAACAAAGTTAACATTGACACAAGATAATATAGGAAAGTGAATTTTCTACATTCAACCTCTTACATGACGACGTTCTGGAACCATTCAGCTACAGAAGTGGTCTATTATAAATTTCCATTTTAACTTTCATTTTTTCTGTATATCAGGTAAGACGATAGAAGAGTACAGAAGACAGCTCGGCAGTTTCGGTGTGAGCGGTGACCTCGCGTTACAAACTATAGCGAGTTTATCCGGTGGACAGAAATCTCGTGTGGCCTTCGCTCGGATGTGTATGGGAAATCCGAATTTCTTGGTACTCGATGAGCCTACTAACCACTTGGATATAGAGACGATCGAGGCATTAGGGAAGGCCATCACTAAGTACACGGTATGTAATTTGGGCATGTTTTCTGTACAATTTTCATATGTAAGTAAGTGTATAACATAAACTGCATGGTTCATGTGTAGACTGAAAGTCTGTTTTCATAAGTGAAACGCTATGTACGGTCATAGAATGATACGGTATATTGAGAAAATACTTTAGATCATTTGTGATCGAGTCTTAATTCGATAGGAATTAGAAATATTTCACACGCAATCAAAATACATATCTATTAATATCGTTATAAACTACAAACTCCTGTGACAATCTTCACGCACTCATTAGGTTAGACCGCTGAATAGTATGAAATACTCTGTCTTTCACCTTTTTTTTAACTATTATGTGATTTTATACTCATTGAAAAAAAAAAGGTTTTAATTAGCACAGAAATCAAATAATAATTTATTCATTTATTTGAGTTATGTGTTATTGTTTCCAGGGTGGTGTGATACTAGTGTCTCACGACGAAAGGTTGATACGGATGGTGTGTAAAGAACTTTGGATCTGCGGTAACGGCTCAGTGACTAGTATAGAAGGCGGTTTCGATGAATATCGCAAGATCGTCGAACGCGAACTAGAGGCGCAAAACAAGTAGACAAACACGCAATATATTATTAAATATACATAATTATACACAACACACTAATATATATGTAAAAAGTAACCATAAATTATATTATTGTAATATATTTATAGCGTTTTATTATATTTTTTTTATCTCATTTTTGTACGGCCGACAATGAAATACTTTTTTATGAATGCAAATTTTATTTATTTTTACCTTCAACCTTCTCTCTGCATTAAATAATTTTAGCATACGATTCCATACAAAACATTTGAGTACTCCGAAATATCCATGGCAATGTAAAAAATATAATTAACTTAAAAACATATTTACAAATTAAAATCGAAAATACATAATATACAATTATAATAGTGACTAAAACAATGACATAATAGTTAATGAATAAAACATAAATTCATAATATTCAGTTGTAAAATCCAAATCGCTTTTTAATTCAGTACTCAATATTACCGATGCCAGCGCGGGGACATGCTTCAATATTAAATGCAATTTGTGTTTGAGGGAACAAGGCTTGTTCATATCGGAGGGAAATTAAATAATATTTTAATTAATGTTTCGAATAGTTTCAATGAATACATACAATAAACGACGTACAACACTATACCAGTTCATATTATGGCAATTATTCTGAATTATATAGTTAGGTACAAATTAAAAAGTATCGCTAGCAGATCACAAATACATACTTCTAAACTAAAGTACTTATGTCCAGTCGGCAAAGACAAATGGCGTTCGGATCACGTCTCTCGCTGGAGAGCGAGGTGTCGAATATTTAAAAAGTAATTACTGATGTTTCTTGCGCCTAGGTTTAGTTTTGTCGGCGTTCCTCAACACTTCAGCGTAGGAAAGCTCAAGTTTCCTCAACTTGTGTATCTCTTGTGACGCGGTGCTCTGTTTGATATCCCACGAATCCGTCTCCGGGTTCCAGCCTTGGTATATTTTACCGGTCCGGCCGCTTGAACTGGGTGTCGGAGAGTTCATAGTCCTGTTGTAGAATTGTAGCGTGGAGCCGTTCCAGTCGGATTCGGTTCGGACGAGGGGGCTCACCTCTATAGGTCTGTAGTCCCTCCTCTTCTTGCTGGATGTCTTCTGATAGGTCACTTTTGGCGGCGACGGGAATACTGGAGAGTCTGCTCCCTGTCGCTCCTGGCTGTGTTTGCGGTTGCGATGTCTGGACTTCTTTCTAGTGGCCGCGATATACTCCAGCGGCTGCCGCACGAGTGGAGTCAATACGCGCTCTTTCTCTTTCTCCTCTTTCTCCTTTTCCTTCTCCGTCTCCTTCTCTTTAGGTTTCTCCACTTGTGCGGCGACTTGTTCCACCTGGGGTTTATTCTCTTTGTCGTTAACCACCTCCTGTTTCTTACCAGACGTCGTAGCGGGTTTCTCCTTCTCAGTTAGAGTAGGAGAATCCGGGACAGTCACATCGGACACTGGAATCGATCGTTCAGACATCGCAGACGACAGAACGCTTTGGGTGTCATCGGTGAAATTGCCCGGCGGTTCTTCAGCGGCAGGCGTGACGGGCGGCACTTTTCCCGCCGTCGTATCGTCGAGGAGGGGCAATTGTTCGCCCTCGTCTTTGTTCTCGGCTGCCTTTTTTAGTATCGTGAAGATCTCCTTGAACAGCTCTCTGTATTCGGGTCTGTTTCGGAAGCGGCTGTCCATCGGACTGACGTCGTCGTAAATGCTGAAGCGGTAGTCTTCGCCGTCTGCTATGGTGCAGAGGAATGAGCCGGGCCGCTCGCGTTCAGTCTGTGTCGCTTTGTTGCTAGTCTCGTCCGAGAATCCAGAGCTGGACGTTTCCGCTTCCGAGAAGTCTGGTGTTTGTATCTTCTTCCGGGATGTGGCCTCGGTCTTCTTTTGTTGTGTATCCTTTTGGGCCTCTTCCCCGTGACCGCTTTCCTCGTCGGTGTCTTTGACGCTGAAATGGCCGTAGTCGCCGGACGTCTGCAACTCGTCTTGGAGCGACAGAGGCCCGGATTGGGTCTGCAGGTTGGCCAGAGTTGTTTGCTTATTCTTCCTAATGTTTTTCACTTGTGACAGTTGTACTTCGAGAAGTGCTTCATATTTTTCTACCAACTCCCTGTAGGGATTGTCGTGGCCGTCTTCTTTGTTAGCCCATACACCCTGTAGTAGTTTCTCCTTGGCATTCTGTAAAGTATTTAAGGAGATATCAAATTATAGCTCCCATTTTCAGATTTATTTTCTATAAGAATGAATTAATCGACGTGAACGTTAATATGATATGATTTTAAAAGAAGACATGAATGAACTTCAATGTATTAAATTGATGTGTATTACAAATAAAAAGAAAGAACGAAGATGACATTAAGTTTTCTTTTTTTAATATTAAAATGGATTTTAATCGAGTGGACAAGATAGTGGTAAGAAATGTTGAATCGTGGCAAAAGTATAATATTATTTACTTAAAATAATAAATATTAGTCAAAAATACACCCATTACTCCACAGACAATATTATTGACAGTATACTTAAATATAGACACTTCGTTGTTTTGATACAAATTTAATATATATTTTTTTAATATAATATACATAGTCCAATAAATGATCTTTTTCCCTTTTAATTTTGCCAAGTAGCATGGATTTTCATACAAAATTAGATTAAGATTATTCTTAGCCTCAAAGTTGAGTTTGTGACGGGAGTTGGTTTCATTCTGGAGGTGCATAGTTAATTTAATTTACTGAACAGAATTCCTTAATTCTCGTGTAAAGCTTCTCAAAGTCCATAGTTAAAGACTCATTTGCCAGTGATTGTGTGAAATTTTTCAACCAAAAAATTTCTTTTTCAGTCTGTTTCTTGAGTAAGTAACAAAGGTGATATTTTATAAATAAAACTTATTCTTAGTAAAAATAACGCCAAAATCGTTGAGGGTAGGCAAAAAGGGCCGTGTGCCACAAGACGGGAAAATGTATAAAGTGTATAATCGAACTAAAATAAATTGGATTGTGTCCTACAATTGAAAATTTAGTTTTTTATTTATGTGCGAAAAATGTGAAATATTCTACTTTTGAATATTTAACAAAATAAATTTTAATACACTAATTTGGAATATATTACTTTTTGAAAAAAGTAGAGAAAAAAAGGATTACAAAAATTTGCTAAAATAAATATGATTTTAAATTCATCTTTAATTGCTTAGACACTTGTATGTTTTTCGCTACCGTAGGAAGGCGTGACGTCACTTCGTGGCTTAAATTTGTAAAGAACGCTTCCAGTCTAGCAGCTCTTTCACAAACATAGCACCGTATCCCCGAAACTATTAATCGCAGACATGCTGTTACTCCTATATTATTTCACAGAATGGAATATTTATTTAAAAAACAAAAAACAAGTAGTCAACTGGCCTATTCCCCCTCAGATGATGTGTGGCATGAAACTCACCGCACAGGGTCAAATTTCAAGCAAATTACCTTAATCCAAACTTTATAATAATGCGTGCTACTTGGCCAAATATACATTGTCTCCCTTTTTCATCTTCATTAACTGGACTAACATTGCTGATAATTAAAAAAAAGTTAGATACGACATTGTTAATATTATTATGACAGTAATGACCAATATAAGCTATTTTATTTTAACATAATAAATAATAGATAAATACTTTTTATATATTTATAATATACCCAATATTTCACCACGTAACATGATCCAATGACCATCACCACTCGGGTAGCGTGCTCTGATCGCGCTTACATTAATAACGTGTCAGTAATGGACGTACCTTCGACTACATACGATATATCCAAAGAAAACTACTGCAAATGCGCTTCATAATGCATATGCAAAGCGTGATCAACAACATCAGGGGCAGTTGTAAAAGCATTGTCGCCTAGAAACGAGTGAAATATTCACATCAGACATGGGGTAATAAATCTTATGCCATGGTTCGAAGCTGACGCTGTATTTTGTAGCTGAATTTTTGAAAAAAATTGTGAGGAACTGTGGAATCAAAGGCCGTCAATATTATAGGACAATTGTGCTGCAAAATCTCTGAACTGGTAGAACAAGTAATTCCATTCGGTATTAGTTTCAGCCATAGTTAGTGTTGTTAATAAATGTTGCACATAATAGCGGAATTGTGCGTTAATATTGTTAGTTCATTCGTATACAAGTGATAGATTTGTTAATAAAGAACACAGATTTTTCTATAAGTACACAAGAAGGCAATCGAGCATTCATTATAAGATAGCGATGTATGCTTTAGAAAACTCACGTCGAATTTGACGAGTTTGTTAGTTACAATGTCCTCTCTCGGACTATCTTGCCCTGAGGGTGTGAGAATGAGAGAGCTGATAGCACTCCTGTCGTCATCGTCACCATCCAGCATCGAAGACATGTCATCACCTCGTTCCACGCCTCTCAGGCACCTGATGCAAAGTTGTCCTTGTCTGAAATTCATAACAACTTACATTATATTAACATGTGACTAAACCACTATCTCTGATTACCATATTATAATACTAGTCAGCTGACAGTTATTACTGTAATTCAAATTGATAGACAATAGCCATTGTATTGGACGTAATAATTCAAATAGATCTATCAATCATGCATTGAAATCTTGTTTTGCGTGTGTAAACCGACTTAAATTCTATGGATAAGAATTTATTTTTATATCTTAGATCGTATCTTTTGTGAGACATTATGTAAGTGGAACTGGTTTTAAAATTTTGGATTAGCAAATTTTTTTATGTATCTGATTAAGCTTTAATGACACAGGCACGACTGCCAAGGTTCTTAGTGTTTTCTATCAATGCAGATTATTCCTTGACAATAATATGTTTTGCGTCTATAAAGTAATATTAATGTATAGACTTGTGGATTCGGTTTATAATATTATTAGCATCCGAAATAATTATTATTATATAGAAAAACACTTCTTTCAGATGAATAGCGATGACATCGCGTATGCAAAAAAAAATATGACATATGATACATAAACCTACCATTTGCCTACTTTAAATTTAGATACATTAGAAACTAAAATAACTATATTCATAATAGAGTGTCCCAGTAAATGTACAATACATAGTAACTCGCTGAAGAGACCTTGTCGTCTGGGCTATGACTGATTGGCTAGTCGTATGGACACAACTGTCTGATCCGAGTTTAAGGACCTACAAAAATCTTAATAATGAAAATGGTCAAAGAATAATAAATTACATATCACTAACCTGACTTCTTCAAGGATGGACAACTCTTCATGCATTGATTTCGGTTCATCTTCTCTCTGATGCCAGTTTCTCAATTGATCGTGTAGTCTGTTGTTTTCTTGGACCATTGACGCTAGTTGTTCTTCCAGTTCCGTTACTCGCCTCTGTTCTTGTGCAAATGCGACTTTGCTCTCTCTCAGTTCATCACTTAGCCTTAGTAAGTCTTCATCCTCTTTTGTCAGTTCTGGGAGGGGTGCTACTTGTTTTAGTGGTGTACTGGTCACGTCGGGTCTTTTAGGGCTGATAATGTTGGGTTCCACTTTCTTTTCTTTCTCTTTGGGTTTTTCGCCCTCCGGTTTCTTTTCCGCTCTTCGCCTGGCAATTTCCAGTTGAGCGTTCAAATCGTCAACAGTCTTTTGTAGTTCTTCGCATTTGCTTTCCAACGATTCGATGTTGGAGCATAATCTGTAATATTAAACAATCTTTTTAGCTTTTCAAAATACCTTGTCCGTCGTTATGTTTTTGTTCTACTATATGAATGGTATTCTAGATTATTTGAAGTTTGTATTCAATGTCAGTTTCATCACATCATATCACCAGCCCTTTTACGTCCCCACTGCAGGGGCTCAGGCCTTCCTTATGGATGGTTAAGGAGGATGGGCCATGACCCTCCACGCTGGCCCAATGCGGATTGGAGGGTACTAACGACTGCAAATGCAGCCGGGACCAACGGCTTAACGTGCCTTCCGAAGCACGGAGTAGCTCGAGATAATAATTTTTTGGTCACCCATCCCGTGACCGACCCTTGCGAAAGTTGCTTAACGACTACGATCGCGGGCCGCGGCGCTTATCCACTACGCCACTGAGCTACTCATAATGTCAGTTTATAAGTAAGGAAATGTTACGGCAAAACAATGGATGGGATGTGAAAAAACGTCAAAGCTTCGGGCGTTGTGTTAAAAACATATGACATCATGCATATTTATCTGTCATGGCAATGAATCTTGTCTTGTTGCGAAGCTTCAAGTTTGTGTATTGTAGTTCTGTCTTTCTAAATTTATAATTATACCAGTTTTCCGCCAGCAGTTTCGCCCGCGTTAGGGATCACGCGGAACTGTTTATTTGGATATCGATTCATATTATGACATCGATATAATTACAATGACAAATAGAATAGTAAACAATGGTAACGTTTTAATTCCCTATATAAACATCCACTCCCATTTTTATCCTTTTTTTTTGCTATTTTAAGGGATAAAATATAACCTATTTTAACCACATATGATTTAGCTTCCCGTAGGTGAAAGAATTTTTAAAATCGGTTCAATAGTTTCGAAGACTATAAGTTGCAAACAAACAAACAATCAAATCTTTCCTCTTTATAATATTAGTATAGATGTATCTAATACTAAGGTGATTTTTACGTTTCTTCACATAATATTGGAGAGAATCAGTTGGAATCGAAAAAAGAGCCAGCAGATTTCGCTCAGACGTGTGCATGTTGATCCCATCGACTAATGTAAATGAGCCAATAGTGATTTTGTTTACCCTTTCCATGAAAGTCTGTCCAAAATATTTTGCTTACGACATAGAATGTAGCTAACATTTTCTCTGGAATCATTTACTACAGAATATGTTTAATGTACCTAAGTTTGATGAGTTCCATTTTATCTATACTAACTTGTTTTATAACCGTGTATTTGGAGCTGCTGCAGATGTATTGATTTTTATACACCTGCAGCAGAAAAATGTAGTAAAAACTCACGTCTTAATGTGTTTCTTATCGGCGGCATGGTCCACGGCCAGCCGGTGGTTGGCTCGCTCCAAGTCCTGGATGCTCACCTCCAACTGCTCGTAGATTCTCAGTCTTGAGTCGTTCACCTCGCGTAGCGCTACTGTTTGTTTCGTTAAGTACTGGAATTAGATATTTATTTAATTAGTTATGTGTAATGAGAAATTATAAAAGTTCCTAGTAGTAACCATTTCAAAATTATATTAGTAACCACATAGTTTTCTAGTTAGTTACTCTGTAAGCGTTTTTAGGTGACAATACTATTTTAAAAGTAATTTACACTACTCGTACGAATTAACATGACTCTTAAAAGCCTATCCTAGTTCACCGATTATGAAATTTCGTCTATAATCTAAATGCTAGTACGACTCTAAAGCAACGCATTTTTCGATTATTTATGATGGTTCTATGCTATTTGCTATTTCGATTATAGCATGGGGATAGCACCTAACGCTGTCTATGACGCGTAATTTTGCCGAATTTGATTTAAGAAAATTATAAGAACGATTTCAAATTTACCTCAGGCCCTCAGGTGTCATGTTAATTCGTTTGAGTTATAGTTGCGTATATTTATGAATCACGAGAATATTTTTTCGTACTCTGCAACGTAATTATACGTAGGAGATAAGTGTCCTATTATTAAAAGATCCGTCTAAATTTGAGTTGATAAAAATATCATAATAGGGATGATGACTGGGTAAAAAGAAATACTATTTAATTTCTCAGGCAGATAATAATAGAAAAATGTTAGATATGTAACTTTTTTCTTTAATTTACACATTTATCCTAATAACAACTCACAAAATAAAGCTGTTATTTTTACCTCCTTGTCATGATATGTGAGGTGATGATAGAAATTATGAGAGAAAATTTGAAATAGGCGTGCGTGTTAACAAATATTATATCCACGGCCGGGAGTAATAACATTACTGCCATGTCACTTTGATTAGCTAATAACAAGCACAGCAATAATATAGTCATGCGATGTACCCTTCGAGAGAGAATTGAAAAAAAAATACATTCAAACAATCAGTGCTTACTTCGATTTCCTGTGTTTGATCTTCGATGACATTCTGATGCTGACGTAGAGCAGTTTCCAGCTCCTTATTCCTTTCTAAGAGGGTCTTGCCGAGTTCCGCTGCTAGCTGCAAATCTGTAACAAGAATATTTTCTTATTATTATAATAGCTTATCTAGTCGTCTAGAAACAAAGGAAGTGGATCGGCAATTTTAAATGAGGTGAAGAAAAAGTGACGTGACAGCGCGCAGTTGAAGCAAAAACTGGGTAATTACTCGAAATACCATCGGCATGAGAGTTCCGACTCAGTTGCGACAGCCATGGACAGTCAATTGACCGCGGGCTGGCGCAACTATGTTCTTTAACGAAGCGGACTAACACGACTGCTTAGTAGCGCGCGACACATTGCTCGCCTTATTACAGAAGTACTATTTTAGCTTGAACAAGAGTAGCATTGTATCTATGGCATAGCGTTGTATTCGTGAAAGGCAAGAGCAAGTGTCTAACCTTGTCGAACAGAGAAAAAAAAAAGCTAAATTATTAAACTATAGTTTTGGGGCCAACGAATATGAAGGCGTTTTGCTCAGAGATGAAAGTTTGGACGTCCGTTGAAGTGAAAATCTCATTGCAAAGATTATGTGTATTAATTAACAATTAGGTACATTGTCTCGAAAACATAGTGTCTTCGTTGAAGTTAAAATCAAAATATAAATCATAAATAAGCTTCGTCTATTGTTCTATTCTAATTCGTAAGATTTGAATCATAATTAAAATGATTATATGTTAGTTTTTGACAGGTAAATTGTAAAAGTTTATAATAAAAGAAGATATATTTTACGGTCCAATTCTCACGGAATTAGGCGGAATGAACGCAGTTATTTCTAAAGAATTAAATAAACAATATATTTACTTACACGACATTGTGTTTAATGCACGCTGAAAGATTGAGAATGTGCGCATGCATAAACACTCTGTTATATATCTTAAAACATATTGCGTTAGGTACCAAATTTCATATTCTAACTTTTCAAGGTCATGGTTGTGCACTATTTCGCCTATATGATTATTAGTTACTATTGTTCATTCTAAACATTGAGGAACGCAAATATTTGTTTCTGGAAGAAATCTTACATAGGTACACATCGTCTTACATAGGTACATGAAAAAACCCTTATGTAGTCAGTTGTTTCTTTTTGTTTTATTCTTATACATATAGGAGACGAGCGCTTACAAATTTTAGACATAAAAATATTTAGTTGTACATACCTACTGCAAGTGCATCGCGCTCATGTTTAAGTTGAGATGTAATATGGCTCTTAATAAAAATGTATACTTTGCCTCCTGTGACTGTGACAGTGAACTATTTTTTTTGTTTTGTCTACGCGGTTATTGTTGTAGCTGTATATAAAACATATTGAGTGCGAATTTGGAGGGTAGATGAATAATCTTTGGAATCACAGCAAAATTATTTTACCATTACATTACTTAATGCAGGGCCAAAAACGTGCATAGAAAGCTAGTAATTTAATGTCCAATTAATTAAAGGTGAGACTTTTTAATTTATATATCTCCTGCTGGTTTGTTTCTATAAACTATGATGGTATTATGAAAACATAACGCGATGTTCTTACAACATTAGTTATGCCCCAGTGAAGTTAGAGATCGACACTACACTAGTTATTACGAATAAAGTTAGTAAACAACTTATATTACAGTGTGTGTTACATTAATATCATTGCGATTCGTAATCTACAGTTAAAAGATATAAAACGTTAACTTTTCTATACGATTGAAAGGCATAACAATAAATATGATTAATTTCCTTAGTATTATGAAATCTATCCAGTATTATAAAAAATAATCTTACATTTAGATTTGGTTTATTTTTTATAAGCCTACCTACGATTTAAATACCTTGCGTTCTTGTTTATCTGTTTTATAAAAAGAACAACTTCAAGTGATTTGTAAAAATAAATTGAATTGGTGAACTTTGAGAACTAAATTTTACACATGCCGACTATTAACTTTTACAGTAGGTACAGTTAACTTATGCCTTAGTTCTTATTTAAGCTACTTAATATTTTCACATTTACAGAAGCGACTATTTAGTTGACAAGAGACTACGGGTTCTCGAATCTAATCAGCATTAAGACTTGATGCCTCATTAAGAAATCCTAAGCCGTATTTTCATCTATGGTCCACCGAATGCGTTTTAATTTTTTTTATAAATCAATTTAACGGTATTATCTTATCTCACACGATTTACATTCTTATTATTACACTTCCTACTGTTATTAAAGGGAAAATTACTACAGATAAAAGTAAAGAGAGAAGCGGCCGAACGTGAAACTTTCTCGCACGATGATATTTAGATCAATCCGCAGATTTTATGATACGAATAGAAATCATATTTTTCCACGAGTTGCTGTTATATACATATCTGTGGAAACATAAATGAATATATGTTTTAAGGAATAAGTCATTTTAGGTTATTTCTTTTCTTTTAAAACGTCAATATTGAAGCGAGAAAAGCGCGTAAAAGTAGAAATGGGAAATAATTTAAGATGTGCGTTAGAAATATACTGATAAAATTGGATACGCGGTGAAAAATAGTTATGAAGATTATTTTTTATGGTAAAATTTATAAATATGCGAGTCGTTTCGTAACCAAGGTCAGACGCATGCGTTTTTCCAATATTGTAAGTATTTACGAGTTGTTCATTAAATGTATTTTTCTGCATTAAAACTATGAAATGTCTCGGATTACCTACCTAGGTAATGAATGTTATATTGTTAGACTTTTTGTCTATCTTTCCACAGCGAGAAGAGAAATGTCGTTGATATATAAGGTAAGTAATATATATATATAAGCTAACGCATGCTATGTTATCTTTAGCCTGCAATCACGTTTTGCCATATGTCACGTTTTTCTACTTAGTAGATGTCTTGAAGTAACTACAATGGTGTAGTCTTTAGTTGGATAAGTTTCTTTTCGTCTTGTATCTATCTTTATTGCTTATTATAAACTCTTTCTTTACAAAGAGGATGACATGTTACAAATTAAGCTAAATTGTCTTAGCCGAAATAGGCGATATCTCTTGAAGAGCATAAGTAGATTTTTACAAGCTGAATTCTATATTACACGTTAAATTTATATGTGAGTAGGATCTTGTTTTTTTATTTTATTTTTCGTTTTGTTTAACTTTTCTAAATCTAACAACATTTTCATTCTATTAGAGTTATACAGAAAAATATTACAAGTTTTTAACAAACTTCGAAGTGTAAAAAGTATATTCTAAAGAGTCAAAGGCACTTTTAGTTTTTTTTTTTATGATACTTAAACGGTGATGCCTCAAGACGTGAAAGTGTATGTGAGTTATGAACGCTCAATACTAATGTCTGCAATTACAATGCTAGGTATTCATTTTGCGAGGTCTAAAGGTCATTGAGACGGTGTTCGCTCAAGTATTCACCATATTTTTTCGCCAAGGCGAAAGAATCAAATTTCAAGATTTTTTTGAATGAAACATATGACTAGTACCCATCGAATCATAAAAATGCTAATATCACATGTCGTTCACTTGCGAGGTTTAAGGAGTTTTGTTTCGTTCGCTTCCTTCGACTTTGAATGATTATTATGATACAGATGATGATATGATACAGATGATGATATGATACAGATGATATATATAGATTGATCTCCTATTATATTAAGGCTGATGGTTTATACATAGTCTCAATAGACTGCTAACATAGTTCTGGGCAAATGCATTACTATGTTCAATAAAGTTCCACAAAATGTAATTGACCGACCCATAAATAAATTTAAAATTCATGTAAAGAACATACTTATGAGTACGTTTAAAGAATTATAAAGTTGATGATTATTTTAAGGATCGCAATGTATGGAATTAATAGCCTACGCTTTGTTCTATAACGACTTATTATTTGTATAACCTATGACCTACAGACTTTGAAAGTTGTATTTATTATTGTGATAACATATTATTTTGGTAATGACATGATTTATGTAAATGTCATTACTTATGATAAAGAGCTGGTGAGTTTCTTTCGCTTGTTCTTTTTGTCAGCTAAAAGACGTCCTGAACGAGTTGTAGGGGAAAAAATTTTTGGACGATTCAAAAGTGCTTGTAACAAGCTAACTTGAATAAGCTTGTTACAAGCACTTTTTTTTCAAACATTTTCATTTCATTTCATTTTAGTCATCTTGATCTACTAGGATTTTGCGATTAAGTAATTAGAGAATATCTAATGAATCAAATCTGTATCACTTGAAATAAAGAGTGCCAACAGAAACAAGTATCCTCTTAATATCTCAGGAGAAAGAGTGAAAGAGACAGCTGCAAAGAGTAAAGTGTATAATCGCTGACTCAGCGATGTGTTTGCAATAGCTCTCATTCTATGTAGTTGGCCTCGCACTAATGCTGTCGTTCTTTTTTTTTTAAATTCATGTTTCTGACTTTTCTGAAGGCCATTAAAATATATTTTTCTTGTGTTTTCATATACATATATTTTTTAAATTCCGTTTATACGATAGTTCAATAATTAACATAATTTTGTCTACTGTTTTAAAGACTAATCTTAATTAACATTCACACCAGTGAAAGAAACGTAATTTTATCAAAAATAATACCTACATCACATGCCCGATTGTTTTAGATGAAACCACACAACTATACTGCTTATGTGTGTGTTCTACGACATTTATCAAAGTTTCGTGGGTCTAAGTTCAAGCAGGTAGACGTATTAATCATTGCATATTTTAAACAAGATAAACTAAAACATGTTTTCTTAGGTATATATGATAAAATGCATAAATACGAAGGCTGAAACGGGTACGCTGCTTTATATAAAACTTAAAAAGTCTAGTAAAACAATAATATCCTGTTATTATAATAAGAAATAGGTTAGCTTTGGGAGATCAGTATCCAATAACAATTTTATCTCGCTAAAAGACAACAATATCGGAAAATTGTGGAGACGTTACTGTAAACTGAATAAGAATAGCTGTCATAATTATCCTTCCAAAGAAGCTAAAAGTAAAGTTCTCTTGGTATTTTTGTTAAGGAATCAGCTAAAAAGGGAAACATATTTCTATATCTTAAATTTCATATA